TTCTTTCTTTTCGTTTTCTTTTCTTTTCTTTTCGTTTTCTTTTCTTTTCTTTTCTTTCTTTCTTTTCTTTTCTTTTCTTTTCCTTGTCGTGTTTGTGTCACTAACACCTAACTAACACCTAATTTATGGAATAAATCATATATAACATTTTACTATCTTACTAAGTTATCATTCTAGTCATTGGTCAAAAATGTTGTCAATACATTTACCCACTCGTGTTTCCGATGTATTTAGATTTACAAATTTAATTTACTTACAGACTCCCCTATCGACTCCTTATTTAGCACGGATTTAGACCATTTAAATCGTTAGTTGCCTGTCTTATTCGCTAAATACATATAGGCTATTTTAGACAAGGCCAATTTCAAAGACGACTAAATTGTTTCGGAAAAAATAAAAAGACTCGATGGCTTTTCCTGGTCGTTCACAAACCATAAACGACGTCGGCACAAGATCCTTACTCGTCTAATCCGATTAGAATAGACCAGACAAATCTTAACGATTTTATAAGTATATTTTTGTTTCAGAACACCTTATTTTCAACATAAACACAGATAGCCTCTGCTGTCACCAGCACGACGAAAATAAAACATAACGAGTCGAAAAGGGAAAAAAATCGATTGTCAAGGCTTTTCAGGCATTGAAATTGAGATATCAGACGCTAATACCCTTGTATCTGTATTGAATGTTTTGTTATAAAGTGGGCAGAGTGTAGTCTACGTGTCTGAGCAGACAATTTTTGTTTTTCATCTTAGATTATATTCAAATAAGAAATAACAGATTGAAAGTTATAGTTGGCGCGTCAAATTATCGACTGACGTCTTACCGYCTTTGGTTTACTTGAAATATAAATTATATAGCGATGCCGTTGGCAGGAAATGTTTTGCGGTAAAAGTTTGTCATTAGTTCAAGTTACAGGTTTGGGGTGGATATATATATATATATTTGGTGATCTTTTTTTCTTTCTTGAACATCTTTTTCCTTGCGGAGGCAGATGCCGGCAAACGACGAATTCATGACAATGAGCGCAACGATGATGTATTTTTTACTTGTTTTTTCGTGGGTTAGAAACCGATCGAATTAGATAAATACATTATGACGAGTTTTGAAGGCGTCTTAAACACGCGAATCGACAGTCGCACTAACTTTCTGGTGAATGAAAGACTTGTGCGCACCCTGAAGAAGGGACGCAGATAACCAAGTAGGACTGAAAAGTTGCACAGTATTAAGTTGAAATTCAGCGCTCCGCATTAGATAGTTTCAGTTATTTCTAATTCATCACCCAATGCTTTTTTTCYAACTAATATTTTCTTACCGGTTTGCGTTGTTTGATGGTCATGTAACCCTCTGGATTTCAAGGTGTTCGTGGCATGAGCCTGGCACTTTTATCAGCTCGATTGCCAGGCTTGCCCTTTTTAACTAGTATTTTGTCTTATCTTGATCATTAGCGCCACCAGTCATCAGGTCTTATTAGATGAATGATGGCATACAGTTGCCTGAAGGTAATTTTCAAGTCAAGGCCCGCCGACTGATACAGCATAGATTCATTCGTACGATAGATCTATTGTCCTTTTGCCAGATTATGACTTGGTGGCTCATTCTTTTTTTTTCGAAAACCACAAAAACTCAAAACCAGCTGTAATTGTGTATATCGGTAACAAAATATTGCTGCTTTCAACATGAGAATGTTCCATTAACTGAATGCACTTGGACAGCCTTGTATAGTAAGAATTACAGCTCCGTATAGCACCGGTGCAGCTCATCGAACTTATGCTATTTTCGCTTTGTTTCTTTAACACTTGTTAATGTTCATTTATTTGCTTGTTTGATTTATGTTTTTGAATTCGGAACTCGAAAGTAGGAAAATAATGTACAGCAGGGTATTGCGGTATTTTCCCGTGACCCAAGTTTTTTTTCATTATTCCGGATCCATCACTAAATAGATTATCAAGGACTGCTTGATGCAGACTGGTCTGCTCGATTTTGATTTTTAATCCGCAGGGCCTCGTCCRCCTGGGACAACTATCAATCGATCCCTTGATCTAATGGTCTCGATTATTTTGAAACAAACATTCTCTCTCAGTGTTTAGTTTATTGCCGATCAAAATCTCATATAAGACCAAATATATAAGAAACCAAAGCAATATCGTCAATATTACTTACTCTACCTGTCAGGAGGGAAATAGCTCAATATACAGGTTATCAAGAAAAATCTTGACGTTATTAAATAAATCTTATATCACATTTTTGATTAAAAACTTCTGGTTCCACTAGAAAGTTTCACAGTGTTGTATAATGACTGACTGACGGTGGAGATAAATTTAATCACGCGCATGATACGTATAAAAGGGTCGTATCCTCCTACAGCTTCAACTACGCAGCAAGAAATCCGGCAGGTTAATAAACTGGTTACGCAATAGAATATTCTAGTTTTCGTTTTATAGATATAATGAACGACGATTTTAAGACTGATCACGAATCTCTCAAAATCTAAAAAAATAGTTTTAAATGATGATTTTTAAACTTAAAGTTTTACTCGAATAAAGYAAACTAGTGAAAGACTGCTTCCACGTTGGAATACTATAAGAGGAATAAAAATAAATAAAACTAAAAGTGATATCTGACTTCAAGTGGATTCTAAAAAATATCCTCTATTTAAAAATAAAAATAAAAATAATAAAATAACAGGAATTTTCCTTTCCGGCATTTTCCGTTTACGTTTAAGCGTTCGTACTAAAAATAGCGCAACGTGCTTGCAGCGACAAGAGAATTATTCTGATAAAATAAAACATACATGCAAAAAGAAAACCAAAAGAATTCCGTTTAAAAAAAATAGGCATTATTTGGACTTGAGTTGCAAATCAAACATATAAATCATTATTTCATACTTCCTAAGTTTTAGTTTTCCTTATGAACAACGTTTGCGCACTTCAATCCTTTTATGGTGACCAAAAATTCCAAAGCTGACAATGCCCAACTGAATTGTCTAAAAATATCTTTGGCGTTTCATGCATAACTTTTTCAGATTGTGTTACAGTTTATCACCCACCAACGGTACCGTATACATATAAAACCCCAAGTCCGTTGTTTAATAATGAAGCATGCCAATTTATACTTATGTATAAAGGCCTTCAGTAACCCACCTTTGATTAATAAGTCTTGTTTCGTGGTACGTGTAGTAAAGTCCAAGCCGGAAATATCAGACCTAGAGGTTGTACACACAGAGCGGTGGACAGGTGGAGCACTTCTCTTCAAGAAGTCTTTTTCCTATGGCGTTTTATTGTTAATACRAAAAACCTGTAAACAAAAGACAAGGCCTATTAGAACTCTGCAGACACTTAGATTATAATGATACGATATTAATATGATGTATCTACAGTTTTTAATAAAAATCGCAACGGGAGGAACCATTCTTTCAAAGAGTGTTCATGATAAAAACATTTTCCTTTGACTCAAACATGCATAAATACATACTTTATATGAATTATTGACTATATCCAGAGAGGTTTCAATATTGTTTTTAGACTCGTATGTAATATAGCAAACGCATCGAAACGTATTTCTAAATATTAAACTGCGATTTTTGTTTCCTCGTGCCAGRGAATCATGTACAGTTAAACCGTTGTTTTTGTCTTATTCCTCAAGATCATGTGCTCTTTTGCTGTCCACATTTTCTTTTCAAACTAATTATCTTCAGTATGGAAATAATTTATTGTCATCAAGGTTAGTTTGCTCATGCTTATTAAAAGCTTTTTCTGTATTGAAACCGCAGATCACAGCCGCATAAGATGACCGTCGATACCACAGATTGTTATGTACCTGGGGGTGTACGACAACTATAGGCAACGAAGCATTTGGCATTGGTATGTATGATTTTTTGATTACACTACTCTATTTTAAAGCAAGCAGCAAAGACGTTTGTATGGTGTATAATATTTTCCCGATGTATATAATATCAAGACAAACCGGCTCACATGCATGTGAACTCATATTCAGTCTAATGCACGACTAGACACTTAAATCAAAGTGATTTATTATTTTTACTATTTTATTTTAAAGAGTATCAAGTCATAATATAGCTAATCACTGAATTGCGACAAAACCGTCTCACTCAAAATCTTCTCTACGATGTGATATGGACGGTAATTTTTGCATGCAATATACTTAAGTCTGATTTCTTTATTAAAAGTGGTTTCGATTCAGACGAAAAACGTTGCATGATCTACAATGGTTTTACTGGAATAAAATAGCAGTCTCAAACACTTCCTGATCTGAGCAAGTCTGTGACATAAATATAGATTGTTTCCGCAATAAGAGTAAATAACTCGCGCTATAGATTGCTTAGGGAAATATTTTCGCGTCAAAAATCGGCATTGCTCCGCTAAAATTCGTGTTTTTTAACCCTGCCAGAATGCTTGGAAGCTGTAGCGTGCGCCCCCGTTGTTGACCAAACTTTTAATAATTGAATGTCCAAAAACCATTGGGAAAATAAAATAAATGACTCTTAAGTCACTACGATGTTTTAAGATTTTTGAAGAGAAAATTCAAGTATATTCTAAAGTTTGAAGGCCTTTTCCGGGCTATTAGGAATTTCTATGGATAAGTTTGAGGTTTATCGCTTTAAAAAATCTGTTTGACAAGCGATAGACGCAAGTCCACTCGCGGCTCCTTGCCTATTTGTTTGTTAAACAGCTTGATCATGTATATATGACACGGCAGTACGGAAGTAACTGTACGCTTACACTTGATTGGTGATTACAGGAATATTTTAAGAGAATAGAGAATTTAAAGATTAATTAAAGACACCTGCATGTCACGCATTAAGCAATTTCACTTAAGTTCCAAGTTCTTCCTGAGTTTCCTGTCATATTCAGGGTTTCTACTTTCGTATTGACCGAAACTGGTTATTATGGTCGTCAAGAAAGACAATACGCGGGCTTAACTCAGTGCAATTATATCTTTTGTTATAAGTCTACAAATTTGAGTTTTTTTGTCATAAACAGGGTACCCCATTCAGAATCCCAGCGGAACACCCCTACCCAAATCCTGGCGGAGTCCCCCCCTCCCCCCTCCCCCCCCTCGGGATTCAATGATATCCAAGCTGAAATTTAGCCTTACCTATTACTCATACAGCGGTGATACTGTAGGGGATTGTCCAGTGCCAATAAAAAATTCGTTCTTGTCGAGAAAGATAACGAAAGCCTTTGTTTTGTTTGCTAGCTTGTAATGCAGAAACAATTGAAGCAAGCCACAAACACGACCTAGTTGACTCCTTTAACTGACACGATTAGTTGGTGCATGAAAATTTGTTATTTTTCGAGGTCAGTGTCTCACGGCGAAGTAACACATCTGTTTTAGAAAGTCTGCTGATCAATGTAAATGATTACGTGTAGCGCACTAAGGCTTTTTCTAACTGTCTAACGCTTTAAAAACCACAAGAAGAACCCCCCCTTTTATATATATATATATAAAGCAATTATTTTTCAAGAAGCCGACAATGTTTACAATTCACAGGTGTTGTGAAGTGCTTAAACACTCACCAAAAGCTATCGAATTGCTTCGTAAACTAGACTCCTGTGGATTTTTCTTTCAACGAAAGTCGCAGTCATATAGATCACATTAACTCACACATCTATGATAATTTGAAAGATTTATATAATATCATAGTCAGGCACTTGTATGATTCATAAGTAGTAACTATAGTTATCAATGCCGGAAGGTGAATAAAAGTATCAAGGTATACAGTATAAACGGCATATTAATTTATTTATTGCGTGTGTCGATTAAACCTTTATTAGTATGTATATTCCATGTTTTCTTAAACTTTTGTATGTGGCCCTTTACTTTCCAATTCATACTTAACGTAGCTATTAGCTCCATAAGTGTCCTTTAATTTTATCCAGTATAATTTGCTTTTTTTTGCCCTAATTTATCACCATCCATAACTGGCCAAACGGCAAAGCATTCATTCGCACTACCTGTATTCGAAACTACAAGATAGTTTAAAAGATTACTTAATTTTGTATTATGCAGACTTGTGTTTGAGGAGTAAACCGATTTGTGGAAGGTGGTGAGATCTTGTTCATTCCAAAATAAGAACGAATCCATTAAATATTGGAAAGAAAACAGTAAAAAAAGCGAAAGAAAACAAAGCATATGATATTTATAAAAACGTTAATTTGTAATTTCAAATTGAATTAAAACACTCATTAATAATTCATAAGCTTATGGTCCAATTGGAGCCACTATACACGTCACGTGCATGAACCTTTATACCCGATAAAGTCCTCTTCATTAGTATTCAAGTGATTTTATATAAAGACACATGTGATCTTTATATTCTTGGCTTTCACCCACGTGACACCGGTCTTGACAACGGTTGCTATCCGCCATCTTTGTGCCCCTCGATAGTAAACAAACAGACGCGACAGAGAGATATGTGTGAACTTTTCACTGAACATGGTGCATTGTATCGTAGTTGGTTGCGGTTCAAAGAGCGGTANCTTAGCCAACCCTAATGATCTTTGACTAACGTGCCTGTCTTTGCCTTGGCACGCAATATCCAACGTGTGGGAGCTTCTATTGAATCTGGTTGCGCATGCCCGTGACGTCAAATCTCTACCGAAGTATAAAAATCCATGTTCGTGACGTGTATGGTGGCTMCAGTTGAACCAAAATCTTATAAATTGTTCATGAGTGTTTTAAGCAGTTCAAAAAACTCGTAGATCGTGTTTTATCAGGTATAAAAGCACTCGGCTACGCCTCGTGCTTTTATACCTGATAAAACACTCCTACTCGTTTTTTAAACAGTACTTAAAAAAAGAAAAAAAAAGAAAAAAGAAAAAAGAAAAAGAAACTAAGTGGACAAACAAGAATAATTTTTTGCTCTGAAATGAGTAGTAAATTGAATCCAGGTGGGTCTATAGTCTCTAGAGGAAGCTTTCCGCTCTCCCAGTCACCGAGGACTGATTTCCTCTTCCAACTAGGCCAACATATTTCTTTTCTCTTCAATTGAATTAGCTGTTTTACAGTTAAATTGGTCAGTCTGTTTGCTGTTCGATTATTTGTTTAAGTTATAGAATATATATAACAAGTATGTTTAACTTATGGTTCGTGAGCTTGTTTCTTTATTCTTTATCAGTCTTTAGACTAGTCTAGTCCAACTAAAGTCGAGAGGAAAAGTCGTCTGGCATCAACTAAACACAAATAAAAGTACTATATCAAAACTAAGACATATATTAATAATTCTGTAACTTGTTAAGTAATGATCAATACGTTATTTGTATTTGTGATCACAGATTAGAGATTCTATCGTTTTGTAAATAGGTTCAAGCTATGCTGGCATTTGGTAGAGTCTAACGTGAGTGCCAATTTCTTTTGAGAGTGATATCAAACAAAGCTATGTCTACCCCGGCCCATTATATTAGATGCATCTTGAATATTCATATCAATCGAGCAGATTCTCTTGAGATATTTCTCAGTTTGTGGTGCCCGCCCTCTGTAAGATTCAGCCAAGAAAAGATAAAAGAGCAGGGCTAATCGAAATTGTCATTCTCTAGATCATTGATTTATCACGAGAATAGGAGCTTTTTAATTTGGAATGAAAGAGAACCGGAACTTCCTCAGAACTTGAAATAATGAGTGACGATCGAATTGACGTGAAGTGGTTTTTAACGTTTCCTAAAACAAATTAAAAAGACTTTTTTTATATATTTTTTAACATGCTTAGTCTATACATTTTCCTTTTTAGGTGGAGAATATACAAGTATTTTGTCTGATAATGAAGAATGTTTGTGAGTGGACATAGGATCGAAGAGAAAACTATATGAAAAATGTATAATGCACACGAAAAAGGCGGATTTTTCGTGTCATGCATAAAAAAATATTGTCATGTTTGACATAAAGTTCACAGAGGTGGAGGCACTTGTATTTGTAGATGATTCAACTAATCGATGCAGACTTCTTTTGTGCACTTGAGACATTTCATTTCCACTTTTGAACCCCTTAGAAATAATATGACATATCAACAACCAAATAGACTATACAAACAAAATGCCAAATGAAATGATAAGAAACATCTCTACGCATGCATATCAGGATAATATATAAATAATGAGACGGCTTGGCCAATTTCCGTTAGTGRCGCGAGACTGTTGAAGAAGACTTCTTATTAATGTCACTGATCATGCTGTTCCATCATATCTATATAGACTATATAGATGTATCGTAGAAAACCAATGCGATGTGGTGAGTAGACATAACGATATACAGTGTGTATCGTGAATCGATTGGATGGAAGCTGAAGTATTCTCATGTTTAGACAGGTCTGTCAATATCAGTCGAGCAATCGATTGAAATTACAAAATAGCCTGTGGCCGAGATCTTGATATTTGACTGCACCCTAAGGGCTTAATTGGTTATTTTTTGACAGGTTTTGAAAACGATGAATGTGGGTATATAGATAAAGCTACATTGATAGATATAGAAAAACATAAAAAGGAGACAAAATACTTAGGCAGTAAGATGAGTGGACTTTGGTGCACCTGCTAAAGTGATAAATTCATATATTCCGTTCTCTCATTCGATTCAAGAGTGTCATAATTAAGGTATGAGGTTGAACTAGGCTTGATATCCTAATGGAAGAAAGCTAGTTTTCATATCAAAACTAAGATCTTTTTTTTTTTTTTTTTTTTTTGGTGGCATATAGAACAGTCTAGGTGCTCTTATAACTTCTTATTCGAGACCCGCAAAAAAATTTTTTTCAGAGGTTTTACTGACAGGTACTCTTTATAGTCGAGTGCCTTCGAAATACTAATATTGGATGTACATGCAGGCTTTCTAGTCTTTTATTTAACTGCTCCAC